CGGACGGACTGACGCAGTCTCTGGCCAAAGTGAGTGACTAGTTGACTGCCAGACACGCGGCTTGATTGCGCGCCTTGTCCGCGTCTGCAACCACGTCCGCAAACGTCCACGGGAAATGGGAATCGGGAGTGGGTTGAGAACGGACCTCTCTATGAGAATGGAAATGGGCTCATACATGGGCTTTTGGACACCACGGAATGGGAGGCAAATCATAGGGAGACCAAACGACCGACCGACACCCAACCGAGACGCAGCGGTCACACATTCGTCATGGAGGCTATGCCGGCATAGTTCCAAATTACAATGAAGGACAGGAAAATAGTATTTTAAAATTGGTTTATTATAAGGCTAAAGTGTAAAGATAATTAAAAAAAAAAAGACATGGACACATGGATAACCCTTCTTAAAAACTGCGTAAAGGGTTGTAATAGGGTAAATAGTTGTAAAGGGAGATACGTTTTCTTCTTCTAGAGAGTAAATGGTTCTTCTTTGAAGTTAGAAAATGGTAATAATTTTCCTAAAAGTTTTTCCTAATAAAATCTCCACCAGAATTATAAATCTAACCATGTCTGTTAATGCATCTCTTAACCGTGTAAACATGCACAATTCGCATTCGATTTTGATGCGTATTGATGGGCTGGACGGACCTGACCAGCATGACTGACGCTAAACAGTGTCGAGATTAATGGTCCCGAATTAGTCAGTGTCACTTATTGGAACGTTGAGCTCCTTCTGACACCTTGAAAATGAAAATTTATACGAAAAGGGATTGAAAACCCCAAAAAGAAAAAGGGGGCAAGTCGATGAATCTTAGGCGCATCCATTAGCCCAACCAATGGAATCAAAATAAAAGTAAATTAAAAATCAACACAATGAGTTCGTACAATTGAAGGTAAATGATCGTTTGAGGTCCGAGAAAAGACCAAAAATGGAGAGCTAAAAAAAAAAATAATTTCTACATTGTATTTACAATATCATCGATCAATAACTGTCAACACACCAGTTCGAATTTTGGGAGGCTGCGGTATTATGAGATGGGTATAGTGATTTGGAGACTAAAGTCACTCGTGACTTAATATAATGGAAAAATAATACTAATTTTATTATTAAAAAAAAAAAAATTTTAAGATATGGAATGAAGTTTATCAAGGAAAGAACTCTTAGCGGCTCTATTCTTAAGTAAACCCCTTGAGAATCGTATAGAAGAGCACCTAATATTCGTCTAAAACACTTCCCATTCATGCTGCACCCAAAATGTAATACAAATTACATTTCTTGTATTTATTCCTTTACCGATTCTTGGTGATTTTCGATTTAAGATTTCGGGTCATAGCGGCGATGAGAGATGGTGGAGATGGCGTAGCCAGAAGACCACCTGGCGTCTGCAGAGCCCGCTAATTGCATTGTGGGTACGCAGGGCACAAAGGAAAGTTGCCAGGTGATGATATCAGCATGATCAAGCACTTAAGTAAGTACAAATGATGGTCCCATCCCCCATCCCCAGCTTGGGAGCTTGAAAGTCCCTCCAATCGCGAGTTGGTTTTAGTCCGATGGTATGAAAAGTTTACAATTTGTTGATTCAACGCGGCATGAAATCGGCTTGGAACTTTGTTCAACTTTAATTAACCGATTTCTGCTGGCCCAGCTAGAAATGGAAAGAGCTGAAGAAGAGGGGGTAAAGGGGGGTAAAAGTCATAGAAATGAGTTAAATTACATTTAAGCCGATTAAAGTTCAGCTCGGTTTCGGCAAAACGATTCGATTTGTCTCGTTTGGTGGAGAAAAAGGGCCCCAAATACAGAATGCTGATGTCGATCGAATGGCGGCGGCAGATGGTTCCACTCACAAAGTTCATTAAAAGTGGCCAAGTTAATGCGCTGGGCAAACAAACATAAAAATACAGATACAGCCGAAACCCAGAGACTCCCAAAAACCCCGAACTCGAACTCGAACTCGTTCCACGCATACTTGAGCGATGATTTTTCCCAAAACCTAATTTTCAATTTACCAAAACAATTAACAACAAATTTTATTGGCTTTTAAGCCATGCAAACACTCGAAACAGTGAGCGCATCATAAAACCTACATGTGTATCTTTCAGATACACACAAAGACACAGAATGCCGCTATTGATCAAGTGTTTGTCGAAGAGATCTGTTTGCCTTTCCGTTCTATTGAAATTCCGAATGTTGTGTATCTTTTAATTAACAAATCCGAAATGGTAACTATAAAACTGGTGTAACCGAATCCAAATCCGCTCTACCTAATTGATTTTTTAATTGGCAAGTGCTAGGGATTGCATTTAAATACCCTTTTAGAGGGTATTATAATTTTGGTCAAAACACTATAAACATATTCTTAAGAATATATTAGAAATAAGAAATCGTTTAAGGTACTCCGCTTGAAAATCGGATGAGAAGTGGGGAAGATATAGCCATCACTGTGGACCCTATAGGGGAAAACCCGATTTTCGAGAGGTCCCATCACGAAAATTGGACAAAAAAATCTCAAAAATATATTCTCTCAGGATTTTGAAGCAGAATGGTGAAGAATCTATCTAGAAATCGTTTAAGGTACTCCGCTTGAGAATCGGATGAGAATTGGGAAAGATATAGCCATCACTGTATAGGGGAAAACCCCATTTTCAAGGGATCCCATCAATAAAAATAGACATAAAATTTAAAAAATATTTTGTCTCAGGATTTTGATGCAGAATGGTGGCAAATTGGTCTAGAAATCGTTTAAGGTACTCCGCTTGAGAATCGGATGAGAATTGGGGAAGATATAGCCATCACTGTGGACCCTATAGGGGAAAAACCAATTTTCAAGGGATCCCATCACGAAAAATGGACAAAAAAATCTGAAAAATATTTTGTCTCAGGATTTTGATGCAGAACGGTGGCAAATCGGTCTAGAAATCGTTTAAGGTACTCCGCTTGAGAATCGGATGAGAATTGGGAAAGATGTAGCCATCACTGTGGACCCTATAGGGGAAAACCCCATTTTCAAGGGATCCCATCAGGAAAAATGGACAAAAAATTAAAAAATATTTTGTCTCAGGATTTTGATGCAGAATGGTGGCAAATCGGTCTAGAAATCGTTTAAGGTACTCCGCTTAAGAATCGGATAAGAATTGGGAAAGATATAGCCATCACTGTGGACCCTATGAGGGAAAACCCCATTTTCAAGGGATCCCATCAGAAAATTTAAAAATTATTTTGTCTCAGGATTTTGATGCAGAATGGTGGCAAATCGGTCTAGAAATCGTTTAAGGTACTCCGCTTGAGAATTGGATGAGAATTGGCGAAGATATAGCCGTCATTGTGGGACATAGAGAAAGCTTGATCTTTTAAGTTTCTAGTCCAAATATCATTTAATTAAACCATTTGAAATGGTATCTATAAAACGAGTGTAACCCAATCCGCATACGCTCTAGCTCTTTGATTTGTTTGATTGGCAAATCGCATGAAGGGGACTTTCGAACCACATTCTACCGGCCAAGATCGAATCGAGGCATCTCTAAATCTCGGGATTGGCAAAGTAGGTGCCAGCTAGCATGTTGTTTTGCATGTCGGACCGAAAAGCCCCCACCACCTCCAGCTCCATGTTTTTCGCCAGGAGGAGGCCCAGGCCTATCCGTTCCGTGGCCACAATGTGCCATAAATTTATGACACTACTAAAAATAGTAGTGGTAAATGGTAGTCATGGAGTGTGGAGTATGGCAGTAGGATGAACGGAGGGAGTATGGAGCATGGAAGTATGAAGAGCTGGGATGTGGAAGCCCTGAGCTGGGGAGTATCTGGACATCTTCGTGCTGTTATGGCGGCAGTTACATTATGTTGCCTTTGTTTCTGGTGCGCATTACACGAGAGAACGAGAATTATATGCAAGTGAGAATGCCATTTAAAAGCAGATAAATAAACTTAATGCGAACTCGCACCGCGGGTCGGGACGGAAAGTGTCATTGCCGGGATATTTATGTTAGCCAAGGACCAGGTGCAGAGGCGAGGAGCCAGGAAACGAACACGAAGAAAAACCACTCCATAGTGGCCACACCAGGAGCATTTGTCAGACGGCGATTCTTCACCCACAAAACAGACGGATCATTTTTGTGGCCAACACTATCATTATGGCCAACTGAGAACCGTTAAGTAAGGCTGCGATTTCTTATACCTGATCGACACTAAGAAAAAAATCTCTGAAATTCCTCTAAAAGCTAATAGCTTCAGTACTGATTTATATGTCTTGTCTGTGTTGCGTGCCACAAACTAGCGTCTGGCTAAAAGTTCCTTACCCTTTTCTTCAGCTTCGATAAATGCGGCGCAGAGGAAGCTATAAATAACAATTAATTGTATTATTAAACTAATTCGCAAACGCAAAAGGACGAAAGGCCGTCAGTCATGCGATTGGGCTGCCACATAAATTTTTGGTAGCCTGTCTGTTTTTTTTTTCGCGAACTCGGTCGGTTGGTCGGTTTGGTTGGCTGGTCAGTCGGCTAATTTACATTTTGATAGCGGTCTGGGCCAAAAGTAAAAGTACACAAGTCCACGGCCAGCCAAAGTCGTTTCTAAAAAATTGTGCCCCACGGCAAAGGGCCAAGAGTGGCAGTCTCTTTTTTGTATAAATTTTTGCTTTTAGGTCCCCAGCAAGAGGAGTCCAATCAATTATGGAATCAGTCAATGATCATCAAGGAGCTGCCGTCTGCCGCCTGCACGCAATGGCCCAAAGGAGTCCATGATGGTCCATGTTGGAGGACCAGTACCGATCGGTAAGTGTTGGCGTGAAAGTTACAAAAAATTAAAAATAATGACAACAATTAACGCTGAAACTGTTGTCCCCTTTTTTGGATCTTGAAAAAGAAACAATACAGCGAAAGTCACCTTTCTTATTATTTAAAAAAATAACAAACTTGCTAAATAAAGAAAAGGTACCCTCTGCTAGGGTATCACCACCGCAAAAATCCATTTAAGCGAATCAAATGGAAAATTTTGTAGTTAAATCATTAGGAATTCAAAAGTTTTTGCATGGACTCTTTGATAAAGGGCTTCACATGATTCACATCCGTGTACACGCCAGGATAGCGCCTAGAGGCACATCCAATGCCAAAGGACACTATGCCACAAACGTGTCCTTGATAGACCAGCGGTCCCCCTGAGTCAAAGGTGCAGGCATCCCGACGTCCTAAAACTCCGGCACATAAAACCGTCGACGTTAGTTTAACTAAAAATTATAGATTATATAAATTATAAAAAAAAAATATAAAATGAAACTAACCCGTTGGTAAATGGGCATCACTGCAGCTTTTTTTGTCAATAATCGGCACTTCTACTCTACGAAGAAGTTTTTCGGGCTTTACGTTTTCTGGTTGTTTTAGACCCCACCCAGAAACAGTAACAATGGTTCCTGCTTCCAAAGGACCAGTGCATAGAGGAATCTTGGCGATATTCAGTCCTTTCATGGGTTTCGCCAGACGCATTAGTGCCACATCCATATGCATATTGGTTTGGTCAAAATTGTTCGGTCGCAAAAAGGACTTAACCTGGCGAACTTCTCCTTTATCCAGGCCTCGCCTGGAGACTCCTCCCGTCACTGTCCAATATTCGGGTTTGGGCATACCGATAAAGCAGTGGGCTGCCGTAAGGACAATGAGCTCATGGATGAGGGTTCCGCCGCACATGAACTCCTTTTTGTATTTTAAAACCATCATATAGCCACCTAGTTTTGCATTTGTGGTCACCACACCTCCAATAACCCGGGGTCCGATTTGGTTAGGCTTCTCCTTAAGATCCTTACCAAGGACATGTTGCCAGCCTACACATAATAGAGCCAAAAGATAGCCGATCACCATCGCAGTTATTAATGAAAGCGAGGAATGCCGAACAAAAGACCCCGAAGCGTTGCCAATTTTAGGATGTAATTTTATATTACAATAATATTTTCATGGTTTTCTCGATGAAAGGCTTGGTGTAGACCACATCCGTGTAGACACCTGCATATTTAGGACTGGCACATCCCAGGCCAAAGGACACAATCCCGCAGACCTGATTTTGATAGACCAGAGGACCGCCAGAGTCGAAGGTGCAAGCATCCTTTTTACCCAAAATCGAGGCGCAAAACATACTGTCAGTTAAAACGGCTATAAAAATAAATCCAAAATCAATATTACTCACTACTATCTTAGAGGATTAAACTCACCAGTTGGCTTATAATCTTTACGGCATTTCCTTCTTCCTAAAACTGGCACTGTTACCGTTCGCAGCAGTGTTTCAGGCCCCATGCCCGCCTCCTTGATCATACCCCATCCGGAGACTTTCATTAAGGTTCCCGTCCTCAAATGGTTTGAACACAAGGCCAACTTTCCAATATTCTTACCGGTCATGGCTTTATCAAGGCGAATCAGGGCCACGTCCATGTTCATGTCACTGTCCCGAAACTGCTTCGATTTGACGATGGTCTTCACGCGGCGCATTATTCCCCGATCCGTGAGTTTTGAAACGCCACCCTCTACGGTCCATTCCCTAATCCGGGGCCGGCCGGTGAAGCAATGGGCTGCCGTCAGGACAATAAGGTCGTGGATCAGAGTCCCACCGCAGACGAAGTCCTTGGTGTAGCGCAAGACTACCAAGTAGCCTCCCAGTTTTTCGCTTGTGGTCACTTCGCCGCCAATTACACGGCCCTGGGGTCCTGAGGGCTGCACTAACTTGGCCAGCTTGACCACGTCGACGGTCTGATTAAGGTTAAGGCCCAGGACATCTTTCCACTGAAAGAAAATCAATAGTAGTAAGTAAGCCAAAAGTTTCTGCATCACTGGTTGGAAATATTTTGTGGATTAGCACATATCCAATTCAACAAATCTAGAGCGGAAAAAAATCTATTTAAGCGAAGCCAATCTGATATTTTTTAAGTTTATAATACTTTTGTTTTTATGTATATTTTGTATCTATCCTTTTATCGATAAAAAATAAAACTAAATATTAATTAAAATTTTTAGGATTACAAAACTCTCTATTTTTCAAAAACTATTTTTCTCTAAACTCGTTTATTTTTTATCTAATAAAATTTTCATGCTCTTCTCAACAAACTTCTTCACATAGATAACATCCGTGTAAACGCCAGGATAGCGACTACTGGCGCAACCGATGCCAAAAGATACAATTCCGCAGACTTCCTTTTCGTAGACCAAAGGACCTCCGGAATCAAAAGTGCAGGCATCCTGTTTACCCAAAACCGAGGCACAGAACATGCTCCCCGTTATATTGGCTATAATATGTTATTAATTATAATAATACAATTTATTAAATTCCTATTATGACTTACTTGAAGTTCGATAGGCTCTCCGGCACTTCTTTTTGTTGATAAGTGGCACTGTGACCGTTCGTAGTTCCTTGACCGGCTTCGCCTGTGTGAGTTCGGTTAGTCCCCAGCCGGAAACTGTGAGCTTTGTTCCTGCCTTGAGATTCTTTGAGCAGAGTGAAAGCTTTCCTATTTTCTTGCCGGTCATCGGTTTTTGGAGCAGCACCACCGCCACATCCATGTTCATGTCCTCTTGTCTAAAGCTACCGGCCTTGATGTATTTCTTGACCTTTCGACGCTCGCCCTTGTCGGTCAGCTTTGTAAGGCCGCCCTCGGCCAGCCACCAATTGATATCGTCACGACCTATGAAGCAGTGAGCTGCCGTCAGGACGATGAGGTCGTGGATCAGAGCCCCGCCACATATAAATTCATTATCGTACCGCAGGGCAATCAAGTATCCACCCAGCTTCTCTATGGTGGTCAGATGACCACCTATAACTCGACCATGTATGCTTCCGATTGGCGAAATCACCTTTGCCAGCTTTCCTAGATCAACGGTCTGATTTAGATCCTGGCCCTGGATGGCTGCCCACTGCAGGCCTATAGCTAGCAAACAGCAGACCCAAAGTTTTTCCATAGCTAGAAGTTCTTCTCAGTCTCGCTCGAAATGTCAACAAAAATGAAATTCAAGTGGAACAAAAAACGTTTAAATGTTCTGTTGAAACAATTTAATGTAACATTAGGAACTTTTTTATGGTCTTCTTAATATAGGAAGCCATCGTATACACATCTGTATAGACGCCGGGATACTTCTTACTGGCACATCCGATGCCAAAGGATACAATGCCACAGACTTCGTTGTTGTAAACCAGGGGACCTCCAGAGTCGTAGATGCAGGCATCTTTTTCACCCAAGACTGCCGCACAGATCATATTGATCGTAATGCGAACTATAGAAATAGGGAAATATTTAAGTGTCATGACTATATGATACCTGTTACTTATTACTATTACCTTTCGAAATATTAAAATTATATATCGAAATACTCACTCTTCGGCCGATAGACTTGTCTGCATTGGTTCCTATCAATCACCGGAACTGCCACGGCTCTGAGATAATTTTCGGGCTCGATTGTCCTCCGATAGGTCAATCCCCAACCAGAAACTCGGAGCATTGTGCTTGTGGTAACAGAATGCGAGCACAGGGGGATGGTGTCTATACCAAGACCAACCATGGGCATATCCAAAAGCACCACGGCCACATCCATGTTCATCGTTTTTTTCCGGAACGTCTGGGGCCAAGCGAAGTCCTTGATGTGGCGCTGAACACCCTCTTCTGTAAGGGTAGAAATCCCGCCCTCGGCCAGCCATTTGGATTTAGTGTAACGCCGAATGAAGCAGTGGGCCGCTGTCAGGACAATGGTGTCCTTGATCAAAGTGCCGCCACAGACGAATTCGTCGTTGTACCGCATCGCTATCAAGTATCCGCCTAGTTTTTCGTTTGTGATCAGATGACCATTGATGACTCGAGGTTGTGGACGCTGGGACCCTATAGTTTTGTTGAGGTCCTCTGCCAGGATAATTGACACAGCCAGCAAGCTTAACAAAGCCCAAAGGCATTCCATTTTGGCTACAAATTAAAATATTCTACAACTCTCTTACACAAAACCCAGAAATCCGGAACCAATGCGGCATAGAGAAGCCAGTTAAGCGAGGCAATTGAAAAACTATTTAAAATACAGAGTCGGATGGCAATTGAGTTTAATTGCAAGTAATTTAGATGTATACATTTGTGTGTGTAGGTTTATTATTTTGTTGTGGAGTTAATTTAGCGGCGTCCGCAGACTAGGAGAAGCTCAGAGGTCGAATTTCGCGCAGGAGTTGATGCAAATAGAACATCTGCTTGGAATCTCGATTTCGCATATCCGTAGCATGCGGATACATGGAGTTAATCATTTGGTGCAGGTCCGTATAGCTCTAAATAGGTCTATATGTATTGGATCTACTTCCTTTCAACAGAGCCTTTACTTACCCCAATATTACGCCATGTAGGTTGATAATGCAACTTTATGATTTCGACGTTGTCAGTGCAGACTTCCGATACCTCCACAAAGGTTGCTGACTCGGGAGTGACCCTGGCCGTGACCTCAGACCCGTCATGCATGTCCTTCAGATTGCGCATCCGAAGGACGAGGTCGCGGTTAGTGGCCAGACGGTTCCAGTCGGAGCGGTAGAACTTCATCAGCTTGCAGTGAATGGACATGATATCGTAGACGTGCAACTCCGCCGCCAAGTGCTTTATGGAGAAGTAGCCCTGGTCGATGTAGCAACTAGCGTCGAGTTCCGCAAACACGTTCAGGTTCATGTCCTGGAAGCGCTGTTTAGAAGATTTATATTTCAAAATATAAAAACGACTCCTAATAAAATGTACTACTACCTTGCGCAACTCGACGAAATCCACAATCGGTTCCGCGATATCCAAATACCTAAAGGGCTTAGCTATGTACTCCTTTGGAATATCTATCACGTATCCTCGAATGCCTTTATTGCTGATGAAGAAGACTACGCGTACGAACTGGCTATCCAGGGTAAAGATAACTTCATCAGGACTGTTGAAAAAATATGTATAAGAAATATAAAAATGTGGCAACCGTGACATTATATAGCTAACTTTGAATCACTCTGTTCCAGTTCCCAATCCCGAAAGGGGAAATGGATATATCTCGGATAGGCAAATCCAAAGTCTCCCAAGCGATCGGTTTTAACGGTCAAGATTTTATGTTCCTGGTCAAAGTTAGACTCCAGAATATACTCTGTTGTCCAGTGTCGGACCTTCATCACTTCGTCACGTTTCTTAAAAATCGGAGGGGCGGACGGTGTTAAAAGGGGAATACGGCTCTTGCGCGCTGTCCCTTCGCCGGTGGCTAAATCAAAATCCAAATCCATTTCCATATCCTTTTCCGATTCCACGCCCATAGTGGTGGTACTGGTAGCGTCTCCCTTAAATGCCAAGGCAAGACTCGTATTCCTGCGAGTTGTTGAAGCGGCGCGCAAAGTTCGACTTGAAACCACTGGAGTTTCTGAATAGTGTCTCCGGGGTATCTTCACCCCTAGTGGTGGCGTCTGATTGGCTATCTTTTTGGGACTATCTTCATAGTTATCCTTTATTTTCTCTAGGGTATTCATCAGCTGATATAGTGTGATATCATCACCTTGATTGAGCTGCGAGTCTATTGGTTTCAACTCAGTGTCTTCCATAATAATGTCAGCCGTTCGACGGAAAAAAGGATACAATCGCTCTGGTTCGGCCTGATCCTCGTAATTGAATGTGTAAACGTTGGCAGCGGCTTTCTTTTCCGTATCGTCTTCTATGAGGCGACGACGGTACATTGGACCAACTGGCTTCTTAGCTTGCTCGTCTGCCAATGCCTCGTCACGAAACTCCTGCGGAAACTTAAACGAGGATAAAAGTAGCGGCATGCAGTATCGCTGCAATATCTGTATTTCCTTTTTTTTTAGACATTCCTGTTTTAGGTAGAAGTTTTTTACGAAATCGGCGGGCACAATTGGAAAGCTAGTACTACGACGGAGCATATCTAAAGCCGAGGGACGGTAGATATTCAAGGAGTTCTCCCTAACTGTCAGCCGATTTACGGATTTAAGTCGAGGAGACGGCTGTGTCGAGGTTACGCTCCCCGATATGCTCTTTGTCTTTGTGGCCCTTTTTTCAGACTTCAAATCATCAATGGTTTTTCGTGTTTTTTTCTGTGCTTTCTTCTTATGCTTTTTCTCAATATCCTCAGTGGGTTCCTCTAATTCATCCACAGGCCCACCTATCTCCTCTTCAATGAATTGGCAGACCATCGGTTCGCCCCACCGACATAGATGTAGGGGCATCTTGAAGGTTAGGATATAGTAGGGTAAGTCCTCATTGTTCAGATGGAGGTTGGGCTCCGGAATCATTGAAAAATCAAGGTTGCGTTTCGAATCATCTCGAGAAGACTCATCGTCCAAACCAATGTCAGCATGCAGCTGTTCGAAATGCAAAGTCCGATTATCCTCGTGCATCGTAATATTGAATTTCTGAAAGGCGGTGTGCTTGGGTTTGCGAAGGAAGATCATAGAGAAAATACCTCCCATCATTATATAGCGACGGAGATTCACCTAAAATAGAAGGAAAAGGTAATCATGATCTTAAATCTAGTAATAATCACATACTTCGAATGGCAACAGGTTAATGTTGTCTGGATGAAATGTTTCACTAACAAATTCATCGCACTCCTGTCGTTCTTTTTCTAGAAAAATCTTATAGGGATCGGGGACCATGCCGTTTGGTAATTCCTGGGGCTTTTTTGGCAACTTGGAACTGGGTTTTGGAGTTTTCTCTTTAACTTTCCTATTATCAGCACCCTTTGTCGGCTTATCGGGTTCAATATTTCTTGAAAATATAATAAAACATAGAATAATAAGTGGACTTTAAATAATTGTCTCAACCTACTCTATAGCCTCTTGATAGATATTCATTTGGGTGGCCATTTTCATCATAATTTCCTCCTGAATGTCCACCTGGGCCGCCCATTCGGTGACAGCGCTGTCCTCGATTTCAATAATTCCACAAAGGGGGGTACGGGTATGGTCGCCGGGAAGCACGTAGCTCTTGGTCAAATGGGAGTACGGGTCGAAAAAGAAGTGAATACACCTAAGGGTCAGATTGTCGTGGAGAACGCTCAGTGGCAGCTGCACAGTTACTCCCACGCAGTTTAAATCGGCGTGTAATAAGGGCAGCCTAAGCAAATAAATAGTTATACATAATATATTAAATCTATAGATGCAGAATCTTACGTCATATAATTAAAACGTACAGGCACGTCCTGCAGGCCCCACAATTGGAAGTTAAAGTTCGTGGCTTTGTAGCAGTAATCAGCGAGCATACAGCCTTTGGTTCTAAAAAAAATTAAATTATTAAAAAATATTAAAATAAAAAAGTAAATCTTACGTCATATAGGCTTCAGGTGAACAAATGACCCTGTAGGATAGTTTGTCGAAGAATGTTACTATTTCCGCATACAGCTCGGTGGGCATCTGAAAAACAAAGATTTGAAATTAAATTTTTTGTTAAATTTAAAGACCCACCTTGGTCATTTCAAAAACCCGACTGACAGGCATACCCAAGATGGTAGCCTCTTCACGAAGAGTCTGTTGGACGCGTTTGAGAGTCTCCAGAAGTCGCAGTATGGTGTTGTCATAAAACTTTCCTATTTCCGGCCGGGTAGTTTCTAAGAGGGTCTGGCGGGTGAAGTCCTGGCGTTCAGGAGATTGGGACAAAATACTGCGCTCATCTACGGACAGGACCCAGTTAATGTCGTCTTTCCTGTCTATCTTCTCCTCTGTACGCAGCTGGAAAAGAAAACTCCGAATATCCGAGGGTTGCTCGGCGTCGGGCAAGCCATCACAGGACACATAGGTTTTCCATTTTTGGGCCATCAATTGCTGGAAAAGTAGTTCCTTGCACTCCTCTTTTGATTCTGCAAAATAATAGGATAAGTGTATTCCAATCCAAAGGAATATGAATTAATTTGTTATACCTTTTACTAAATTCGAACTCGTATGCAGATCCTGCAAGCGCTGTACATATTTTAGCGTTCTAGCCATCCACTCATCCTCTGAGATAACCTCCACCGAAGGCTTGTGATCCGAATTACTTTTTTTCAAACCCTTTTTAACCATTTTTTTTTATTTTTACTGTTTTAAATATTTTTTTAAAAATTGTATATTTTTATATATTTTTTTGGTGTTTTTTTTGGGTGTGTTTATTATGTGTTCGTGTGTGTTTGTACCCCTTGTGTGTTTTCTGACAACTGAGGCATTTTTATAGAAATCACTTTATTAGGTCAGTATGATCAGTATGAGTAGAATATTTAGATACTATGAGTAACTTAAGATTCGAATTAGACTCAGGAATCGTTTAATGTTTATGAAGAGCATGGTTTCCTTATTTATATCCTCTCCATAAGCATTCATTGATATAATGGCGTGATTTAAGTCCGCATAGGTCTATGGTTTGTAATTAATAAAAAATATTTAAGAACTAATATATGAAATCAAACTTACATTGATATTTCGCCACGTTTCCTCGTAGGTTAGCTTTACAACGTCAATGTCATCGGAGCACTGTTCACTCACCTTGACGAAAGTCGTGTTTTCGGGACAGATCCGGACTGTGACATCGGTTAGATCAGAGGCGTCCTTGGCGATCTTCATATTGATTAAGATATCGCGACGTCGGGCCAGTCGATTCCAACTCGATCGGTAGAATTTCATGATCTTGCAATAGAAAGCCATCACATTATAAGTATGTTCTTCGGTAGCCACATGTTTAATGGAAAAGTAACCATTTTCAATGTAAAAGCTGGCATCGTTTTCGGCGAAAATGTTCAGGTTTTTGTCAACAAGCAACTAAAGATTTTAATAAAAAAGAATAGGCTTCGATATGTATTTATTGAAACGTACCTTTCTTAACTGGCGAAAGTCACCAATGGGCTCTTTGATTTCTAGATATTTGACTGGCTTGGCCACGTAACCATCAGTTATATCAGTGACATAGCCACGCACTCCCTGCGCACTGATATAAAAGATAGTTCTCACATGGAAAGTGTCTAATTTAATCATTACCTCATTGGGACTGATTTAAAATATAATATATTATCGGTTTCTATAGAATAAATCTAGGACGGGATACTCACTTTTCCTCGTTCGGCTGCAGCACCCAATCGCGAAAAGGAAAGTGCTCGTATCGCTTGAAACAAAGTCCAAAGGTACCCAAACGATCGGTTTTGAAGCTGATGGTGTTTTCCTCCGCATTTACCTTCATGTTCTTAATGTACTTAGTAGACCATTGCTGAACCTTTTCAACGGTGTCACCATTACTATCCTCGTAGTCTTCATCATAATCTCGACGCAAAGATGCGAAACTAGAATCCGCCAACTTTTTTTTAGAGGAGCGTGGCTTTTTGTGTATAGACTCCCTCGATGGAACGCCAAAAGGTGAAAGTGCAGTGTCTGATTTTGTTGTCATAATACTGTACCTTGACGGAACATTTAGCGAAATGCGCCTTTTGTTTGGATCTAATTTCTTTGCACCCTTGGGAGGGTCGCTTCCTTCCTTGCTCTTTCTAGAACCCCTCTTCAAATCTGACTTATCAGTAAAGACAAATTCCTGTTCCTGTTCTTCTAGAACCCCTTTTTTCACGTTTTTCTTCGTATTGGCATCGACCTGACGCAAAATGGCATTGGGTTTGTTGATATACTGGACCATAATCGAATCGAAAGTGGCCACCAATCCGTTGGCGGTCTTTTTAGTGTCATCAACCTCCTCATCGGAATCATAGTCCAGGTGAATGTGAGTGTCAAAGTGGGGAAACATCCTTTCAGGATCTTCTTGGGTTTCGAACTTGAAGTTATCCAACTTAGGTGCCTCTTCCACGGCATCGGCAATATCGAAACGCTTCACCAAGGCATGGGTCTTAACTTGAGCTTCAGCCTCCTTCAAGGAGGCATCAAGGAAATCCCTGGGCATCTTAAAGGACGATATTATGCGGGGTAGGCAGGCATTTTTTAGGTTCATCACTTCCACCTTGTTCAACAGCTTGTCTAGTTCAAAATCCTTTCGCCGCAAAACCTTATCCACAGAAAAAGAGATTTTGCTGTAGCTCAGTATGTCCATCATTGAGGGAGCAAATGCATTTGCCAACAAGGACATTTTGTTGGTGGTACTGAAGTACGAGCAACGAGTTGAAACCCTTGAGTGATCAAAGTAGCTGAGAGAAGCAGTGGATCGTTTTCTACTCATTAGGTTTTTATGGGTGCTGCTTAGAAAGTGGCACACCTGGGGAGTGCCCCATCTACACAGATCCGGCGGCAGCTTTATCGTTACATTGAAGTACGGCAAGTCACTCTCATCCAACTTGAATAGGCTGTTCCGTTCATCGAATTTGGTCAACTCTGAAATCTTTAGGCTCGTGGTTTGGCCCATACCATCGGTCAGGCACACCACATCCGGTAAGTTCTGCACTTTTCTATTATCCTCGTGGAGAAGAACACTTAGCTTCTGGTAGGTCGTCTGTTCGGGACGTTCCACAACCATCAATGAATATATCCCACCGGCTATAATGTACTGGCGCATATTAATCTAAAGAATAATACCCATGAGTTTTAAGCTCTAATCGCATGGAAATACCTACATCTTTCGGCATTAAGTTGATGTGTTTGGGATCAAAGGCAACTTCTAGGTAGTTTCTATACAGATTCTCTTCGCGGTATACGAATTCCTCATAAATGTCGGGAACCATGCCCTCCGGTACTGGAGGCACCACTTTGGGTGTCTTTGGAATGATAATCTTGGAAGTCCGACCCTTTCCCTCCGCATCGCCCTTGCTTTCGACCTTGGCGGCAAGTTCTGTTCTTTCAGCAATCAGGTTCATTGTGTCCACATAGTCCTGATACCTTCGGATCATAGCGTCCAAAATTTCCGCTTGAATATCCTGCTGCATTATCCATTCGCTAACAAGCGACTCCTCCATGTCCTTGATGCCTGAACTGGGCAAGTACATACTATCGACCAAATATAGTTCAGCGCTACTGGCGTTCTGCGAATAATGATCGAAGCTGGTATGGACACATCGTATGGTGAGGCAATCCTTAAGGACTGATTTTGGCACCTGGACCTCAACACCGCAGCAATTAAACTCGGCCAACATTACGGGAACCCTTTAAAGTGTTTACGATAATTTTTCAAAAGAATCTCCATACTTCTTGAAAAAACCTACGGCAGTTGGTCAAAAATTACGGGAACATTAAAAATACCCCAAATGTCCATCTGCCACAAATCGCAGCTATAGCCCCATGTGCCCACAATTCCACTCGGAGAGCTAATAAAAATATAATTTAATATTAAATACAGAGGTTTTATGTTTTAAAACTGCTCACCTCATATATACTTTTTGCATTCTCAATATTCGATAGACGAGGCGATCGAAAAGGCTGATGATTTCCTGTTGCACCTCCTTATAAACCTAAAAAAAAACATCATAGATGTATGTTTCAAAATTTTGACTCACCTCATATAACTCTTGTTGCAGTCGTTTACTTAGGGCCATGAACTCCTCCTCATTGTCCAGAAAAACATCGATTTTGTTCAAAGTCTCCAGACAGTTGCCAATATTTATCGCATAATACAAGCCTGGATTGTCGCTAAAGGCTTTTTCCAAAACTGCTCGCGTCGAGTCCTTGGCAAAGATATTCTGAGTCAAAACAGACCTTTCGTCGATCAACAAAGTCCAGTCCCGGGAGTCGTTTGCTTCGATTTCCTCAAAGTGGCGAATTTTGGCCAGGAACGTTCTCACCTCGGTGGGATTAGAGGGACTGGGTATTTCATCACATCTCAGATATTGTTCCCAACGCTCCTTCAATGCCCTCTCGCTCTCAAGTTCCTTGAAGTTATCCAAGACATCTGACGGGTAGTGGTTATTAGGTAGGAGATTCATTTTAAATTAATATTTATTCGAACTTCTAAATATAATACAGCTAGTGACTATGTCCGACAGCCGACTATGGTACTTTTTTTGTCTATCATTAATTTCCGATTCAGAGATTAGTTTTTCGGCACCTTCAAGCGATTTTCTTTTCACCATTTTGCCAATAAGGATATCGTGTTTAATGTTTAGTGTTAAGATTTGGTGGTTTTTGTATTTCTTTATTTTATTTTTTTAATTTTATTTTGTTCGTTTATCGTGTTTTGATATGTATATGTATTTTTTTGTAGTTTAATGTTCGGGTAGATGTAGGGTTGTGAAGGTTAAAACAAGGCTAGTAAGGAATTTCTTCATTTTACTTTGCATTTTTATTATTCTATTCTCTTCAGTGAAAGGTAGAATCGTAGTAGATACATGTATACAAGATTGGATATCGAAAAATTGAATTAATCCTATGAAAAGCTCAACGGTCGAAGTTGAGTCAGCATTTTCTTAACGTAAAAAAGGAGCAAAGTATCCTTATTTCGCAATTCCAAGGCAGTGGGAGACATTGAGCACACCGCTTGATGAAGGTCCGTGAAATGCTGCCAATTCAAACTTAAAGACATACTGTTCCTCGTATTTCAAGCTATACTCACTCCAATATTACGCCACGTATTTTGATAGGATAGCACAATCACATTCTCTTGGTCTGAACAATTCTCAGTGACGGTTACAAAGGTGGTGTCCTCGGGTCGAATGCGTACGACAACCTCTGAGTAGTCGCTATTATCCTTGGCTATCTTCATTCCCATTATAATGTCGCGGCGATTGGCCAGGCGATTCCAGCTCGATCGATAGAACTTCATGCTCTTGCAGTGGAGGGCCATCATTCTGTAGGTATGCTGCTCAGTAGCCACGTGTTTCAGTGAATAGTAACCGTTTGTGATATAGAAGCAGGCATCATTTTCAGCGAATATGTTTATGTTTTTTGCTAAAAAAATCTAAAGACATTTGTTGATAATTGTTTAAGAAGGAAGTCTCAGTTAAAAATATATATATATCTGACAACACCTGCTAACTCACCTTGCGTAATTGTTTAAAGTCAATAATCGGTTCCGGGATTTCCAAATACTTTACCGGCTTGGCGGCATATCCTTTGATTATGTCCGTCACATAACCACGCACTCCCTTGGCACTGATATAAAATAATATGCGTACATGGAAACTATCCACGGCAAAGATCATCTCGTCCGGACTACAATGGGAGAAAAGTTAGCAAGAATTAATAGGAGACCTCAACTTACTTCTCCTCATTGGGTTGTAGAGACCATTCTCGGAAGGGGAAATGGTCATACCGCTTAAAGGCGAGTCCAATAATACCCAGGCGATCCGTTTTAAAGGTGAGCTTGTGGGTGACCTTATCGACCTCTGCATCAACGATGTACTTTGTCGTCCAGTGGGTCACCTCTTCCACTTTTTCCGAGACCCGAATTTGAGAGTCTGTCTTGAAAGGCAAGGATCGCTTGGTTCTTCGCCTGCCGGTCGTCTTCGCCTGCCAGTCGCTTTCGTCCTTCTTGGTGGGCGGCGGGGCTTCTCCGACGACTTCCTCCTTGACCTTTTCCTTAGCCGCCTTCTTTTCCGGCTCATCGGGCTGATTAAGTAATTCATTTGGCTTGGCCGTATATTTGGTTTTGATGTCGTCCAGATCCTGGACCAATTGGTGCATGGTGTGTGATGTACCCGCTTTAAGCTGCTGCGGTTCGTCCTCGTCGGTGTACTCGAAATCGTCAGAGTCATCAAGCTGCACCACCTCCACACGCGGAAAGAAGGGATACATCCGCTCTGGTGTATCCAACTGGTCCTCGTAGCTAAAGCCCAGTTCCGGCCTCTTTGCCACTACATCAGCATCCTGTCGCTTAAATAGACCCTTTTTGTTAGAGGGTGCATCCAGATCTGGCATGTCATCGAGAACGTCTGCAGGCAATTTAAATGAAGAGATCATCCGCGGAATGGCATGTCTCTGCAAATTTCGTATCTCCAGCTTGTTCAGCTGTTTGTCCTTTAGTTTAAATTCCTTGAGCAAAACAGTGGCGGAAGGTCTTCCTATAACACTTTCGAAATGGCTTTGCCGGAGCATCATCCGGATGGTGGGTCGAAAGATATTAGTTGTAGAATCCACGGACAATCGAGTGCTGTGCCGAACACTGCCTTGAAAAGATGCCGAGGTGGAGAGACCTCTGTAGGTATCCCCGGCGTAGAGCAATTCGGAAGCCAGGCGTCTGGGTTCAGGTGGTACTATTTGGTTCTCTGTCAGATATTGGCATACCTCAGGTACGCTCCACCTGCACAAATCTGGCGGCAGTTGGATGGTGACGTGGAAGAAGGGCAGATCGGATTCTTCTAGTCTGGCGTTCGCCGGAGTCATTAATGTTGGCCGGCTCTTTCGCAACATTTCGGTGGCACGCTGATTGCGCCCCGTCTCAGCCACCAGTTGGGGCATCGTGTACAACAGTCGATCGTCCTCGTGCCACACAATGTTGAACTTGGAGAACTCGGTCTGGTCGGGTCGCCGCACAAACATAATCGAGTAGATGCCACCCTGGATGATGTACTCCCTTAAGTTGATCTGAAAAGTGATTCAATTAATGGTCGGTTTATCGTTTTGGATTCTCAACCTCCTTAACCCACCTCGTTAGGAAACAAATGGAGATTCCGCGGATGATAAACCTCGTCGAGAAATGCCGTATTCTGGTAATCCTCTATTCTAATAAAATCATTGTAGATATCGGGAAACATGTTGGGCGGAACTAATGGCGGCTCCTTTGGAGCTTTTGGTATTATTATCTTTGGTCCTTTCGATTGGTCACCAGCCTTGGCCTCCTTGGCCGCTTGTTCGACCTTCATGGCAATATCTTCCATAACTTCCTCGTACTCCTCCCGCCGCCGCAACATCTCAGACAATGTCTCCTCCTGGAGGTCCTGTTGCATAAGCCATTCGGTAATCACGGAATCCTGCATATCCGATATCCCGGCATTGGGATAATTGGAACTTGTTATAAGCGGCGGCTCAAAACTTTTTGCATATTGGGAAAAATTATCGAACTCTGTGTGAATGCTGCGAAGGGTCATGCAATCTGCAAACATACTCATGGGCACCTGGACAGTCACTTTGGTGGTTTCAAAAGTGGCCAACATGACTGGAATTCTTTAAAGAGTCAACATTACTTTTATTATATAACCTTTGTGAATAGGTATACTGACTCTAGTTGGTCGAAAAGTACGGAAACGTTCAAAAGACCCCACAAGTCCATTTGCCATGGACCACACCGATGGCTCCAGGTGGCCACTTTGTTATCTTCAGTACTTAAATAATGAAAATGATATAATAAATAGTCTAGTTGTGAGAGCTCTAGTTCTTACATCATATAAGCCGATTGCATATGCATTATTCGATATGTGAGCCGATTGAAAAGGCTATCGACTTCCTTCTCGAGCTCTGAATAAGTCTGAAAACTCACATGGATTACCAAATATATAGATTACCTACATTTAGATTACTAACTTCCATTATTTCATACTGAACCTTGTTGGATAAATTTTCCAGCTCAGCTTCATTATCCAGCATTGTATCCATTTGCTTCAGGGTTTCCAGACACAACTGTATATCATTTTCATAGTGAGCTCCGGGATTATCCTTGTTGGCGCGCATTTTATCCCTGGTCTTGTCCGTCCGGAATATGTTCTGATTAAGAATGCTTCTCTCATCTATCGACAAAGTCCAGCTGACCGCTCTTCTCGCCTCGATATCGTCATAATGCCGTATTTTGGCAATAAAAGTTCTAACATCGACGGGCACATAAGGTCTGGGAATGCCATCGCATCGCAAATAATGCTCCCAGTGATCGTTGTGAGTACGAAGGGTCTCCAATTGATGAAACTCCTTTTCGGATTCTGTGGGCATGCTTTAGGTTCAGTACGCATGATATCTTGATGGAAAATCAGACATACTTTTAACTAGGTCCCCACTAGTGGTAACATCATTCAGACGAGTCACATACTTGGCCTCCCGTTCCGTAACTTCCGACGCCGGGATCAGAACAATCTTGGGAATCAATTCTGCAGGCATCCTTGATTTGAAAAATACGTTTCTACTCGTATAAAGATATAATTTTAATATTGTATGTTTGTGTTTATGTGACAGTACTTCTTTTTTCGTAAGGCAACTAGTTGGAATTTTAAAAACTTTCAAGATTTAATCCTTTATACAATATTTTATACATTGTCCTGACTGGCAGACATCCAGAAAATTTAAAAAGAGAAAATACGAAACGTAAGCCCGTAATCTAATGCCAAAGTTTGGCCACAACTCAGCCAAGTAGGTGGATGCAGCCACCGCCCCTCAAAAAAACAAGGCTATGCAGTACCTCCGCCCCAACCCAAATCCAGGAGATTTATTTTGGCCTTTGCCAGCTTTCGTGCCAAGAAAATACTTTTCGAATGCCATATCATCAACCTGAGAGGAGAAAGTGTAGATGCAAAGCCGGGGATAAGACCCGAGACCCAAGACTTGTGTCTGTCTGTCTGGCAGAGACCAAAGACAATAGCTCGTTTCCAATAAATTGATTAAATTTTATGTTGCATTGTCCGTGTGTGACTCTTTCAAGCTCCATTTACATACGAGAAGAGCATGTTATGTGGCATGTCAAAGCTACGGAATCGGCCATGTCTGATCGATTACATTGATGAATGAATTTCAACAAGCCGTCGCATTATTGGACGTCAGCAAGGAGGACAATGACGTGCTCTCCACGACTCCTACACAGGCCAGTTTCTTGTCAAAGGCAGCATTCCTGGCCCATGTGGTATACTGAAAGAAAATCCTACTAAGATTGTAGCAGAACCTACTATATATTTCAGGTTATTGATGCAACAGCTGAACTAGAAACAATTTAGAATAATAAAAATTTTTTAAAGAAAATATAACTATTTTTTTAGATAAATTTTTCTCTCTAGTTGTGACTACAACTTCCTTTACGACTCTGTGGAAATTTATTTGTTGCAAGTTGTCCTTTAAATAAATTCGTTGTCAAGCTTTGATCCCTACCATGGACAGGCTGAGGACTGGACTCTGCCATAACTCAAATGGCTCCGAGCTGGTTTCAACTTAATGAACTTGGCTTTCGTTTTATCGGAATGCCAGAGGCCAACAAATCCAAAATCTCTGGGCCATTAGGAGGCAATAGTTTTGACACCTTTACCTTTAAGTAGGGCCCCCCAATCAATATCAATTGATCTCCCCGTTTCAGTCCACATAACTAGCAACTGGGGAAAATGACGAGCAAATCGCTCGACTGCCATGCAATCATTCAATTATAATTTGCAAGCAATGAACAAGAAGCGAGAGAGATCTGTCCAAGTTTCGCGTCCAATCTGCCTGGACGAGGCACAAATAATAACAATTTCCTGGCCAACAATTGGATGACTTGCCGGCCAGCCAGCCACAGCAACGATGCCACGTACATAGCTAGGATGGATCGTTGCAAGTTGCAACTATCAACTAGCAACTTGCAACTGGCAACTTGTGAGCTAACGAGTTCAGCCGGCAATTTCGTCCCCAATCGAATCCAATCCAATCCAAATCCGCGGCGAGCCAAAATTGCCAACGAAATGGAAGAGCTAGTCAGCATCCAGAGCTTTAGAGCTCCGGGCAAAAATAATTGACATCTGTATAAGTCTGCTATTTGAGTTGCAAGTTGCAAGCATTACTGCTGCGATGGTTGCATTGCAGTTGCATTGGATAACAAGTGCCCGAGTTGTGTTGTCCGCGAGTTTGTCGTTGTCTGCCTTACCTGTCTGTCTATTTTTCACCTGCACTTTGATTTTATTTCAACTCTCTGATAAATTAAGCCAAAAAACATGCTGAGATATGGGCACTTGAAGAAATAAACTAATAAGAAATAAATAAACAGTGTCTTATTAAGTTAGAAACTTTATTAGAAATTTTGGTACATTATTTTAGATTTGATTACAAATAGTTTAATATCAAACGAAGTTCCTCCTCTAGAAAAAATAACTCCAAAGATATTTGTTTTAAATAATTTTTTTCAGCAGGCTGGGTAGGAAAAAAAACCAGCTAATTTCCTCTATTGGTGGCCGGACTCATTGGCAGCTGGACGTGCCCCTTATCGGGAGAGGCGGCGCTTTCTAATCGCCACTGAATGGTGGCCGGCAACATTTTGGCATGTAAATGTTGACAGCAACATGTTTACCGTTCGCCTCTGTTTAGCTTAGGGGATCCCCCTGCTCCGCTTACTGTCCCCTTTTTAACAATGTGGAAACTTTTGGCATTTACATGAGAATTGTAAGCGCAAACATTTTAGTTTTTTGTTAGTATCTTTCCTATTTCCCTAAACACAATATGAGCATAGAATTTGTCCAGCAAACGCTGCTGCTGCTAGTGCTGCAGCTGCTGTTGCTATTGTTGGTCGTCTTGATGGTTGAGCAACAAATTGAGTCTAATTAATTTTCAGCAAACGGCAAAGACTGAATAACATTGTCTCCGGGTATACTCTTCCTAGGATTGGGTTAATCGGTGGAGCTGATGGTTTTGTAGAGGTGGGATTTAGTGAACCTTATAAAATATTAAGAACTAGATATAGTATACATATATGTATACATTTAACATTAATGTAAATATTAGTATATTAATGGTATGCACTACATGTTTCTTACCATAAGTTTTCAATACTTAGTTTATTTATAGTATAGTTATAGTTTGAAATAAGAAATGACAACAAAAAAATGTTCAACAAAAAAAATTGGAAAAAAAAAATTACAACAAAAAAAAATTAAAACAAAAAAAAATTACAACAAAAAAAAATTACAACAAAAAAAAATTATAACAAAAAAAAATTACAACAAAAAAAATTACAACAAAAAAAATTACAACAAAAAATTACAACAAAAAAAATTACAACAACAAAAATTACAACAACAAAAACTACAACAACAAAAAAACTACAACAACAAAAACTACAACAACAACAAAAACTACAACAACAAAAACTACAACAACAACAAAAATTACAATAACAACAAAAACTACAATAAGAACAACAAAAACTAGCACAACAATAAATTACAATAACAACAAAATCACAAAAAAAATAACACTTGTAAAAAAACGAACTATTTTTTCGAATTTTCGGGCCTGCTTAAGTGCAACCTATGAGAATCGAGGAGGAGGGCGCTGTTTTTTAATTAATTATTATTTTTTTTAATTATTAAATAATTCATTTTTTTTTAATTTTTTTGAATTGTTATCATACGCAAAAAAACCGTAAAATTCGGCCCTATATTGCTATTGTACTTTTAGGCGCCCTTAAAAGTAGGCAATGGAAATATGAGTGTTTATATTTTCAGATTTATTATTTTTAAACAAACATGATTTCTTTTAAAAATTGTATAAGAATTAGGTTAAATAAGGATATCTAAGCTATCTCTATCTATCAATCTATCTATCAATCAGTTACATGGCAGCTTTAGGACATTGTTCCTTATAATTTTCTTAGAAATTATAATTTTTTTTTATATATTTTTTTATAGAAAAAAAACTTCTGTAAGAGTATAGCTGATTTCCTCTTGAACTGAACAAATTTTCCTCTATCCCATCGTCCATCTTAACGGTAGATGAATGTTTAAACAATGCATTGCCATCATGGTAACAAAAAAAATGGAAACAAGAAACCCCACTAGACTGCAGCGGGAGCAGAGGCAAAATACTTGAGTTCTCAAAATCTATGCAAAGCAAGACCCAACTTCAAAAGACCAAACGACCATTCAGCTAATGCTTTAGATATGCAAATCGGAAAATTCTTGGCTTCTCCCAGCCCAGCCTGTTCCCCATCCCCCCGGTTGATTGGCTGCTTAATTGTTGCATCTTAAAGTTCGAGTTTGGGGCACAAATCAGAAATTTCCATAAAATGCGAGAGCTTTGTTAAGTCACAGCTACCGTCAAAGGAAAGTGAGCGTGGAAAGTGGAAACGGTCCGCAACAAATCTGTTTATTACCATTTTTAGGTCTCTGTGTCAGTGGAGATTACTCTTTTTTTTTTTGGTCGGTTTCGGTTTTGGTATTGGCCGATTGGTGGGAACCATCCACCGTGCACTCGAAATCGAAATCGAAACGGAGTGGAAATTGACTTCTCGTGTTGAGTGCCGCATGCCACGCCCTTGGATTTACGGGCTATCGCCTGACAGTCGGCAGGATAGCAAGAGTGGCAAGATGAGTGGCCAACTCCGGTGGCTAAAACTCAGCACTCGGCGAGGCTTATCACCTGACAGTCGGCACTGACAGGCGACAATTTGCATGGCCACCGAGGGGATCGCACAACTCATTACGAATGCCACTATCGCCGGTTGCACGTTACTGGTTGTCAGTTGCATGTTGCCGGCAGGCGGCAACACTTTAACAAATTTGGTTTAAGAGTCTTCGATGTGAAGTTTAAGGAAGATACATATATAGGAAATTATTAAAAGATAAATGCCTTTAAACTTTATGTTAAATTTTATTGATAATTCTTTGTAAAGTTCTTAAAATATTAAAATAAAATACAAGATTTCTTTTCTCTGCTTTTCAGAAATTGAAAAATTCTTGAGTGAACATGCAACAAGTTGCAATCGCCACACGGGCTATCTGCCGCAGTCTAATTGGCAAACTTATGGAACTCTCACCCAGAAGATATACTTTTTCGATTTGCGGTACGTATGAGTAATGTCAGGTCATCATTATAGCGGCAAATGTTGCGGCAGCTGGGCCCCGTGCACCCCAACCCCCAACAGCAAATCCAACTGCAAATGAAATGCAAATTTTAAGTGGCCCGTGCAGCTGGAAATGCAGTCGAAACCTGAAATGGAACTCGAAACTGGAACTGGACGTGGACTGGGCGTGGAAGTGGTGCAAGATTCAGATGCAGGGGGTATAAGCGACTATCGCAATGACGTGGCCGGATTGGTTTTAAAATAAATGTTATTATTTCGATAAGTTGGCGCGTTTTTGCGGCTGTGCCCACATTTAATTATGCCACAAACCGGACAGCAGCCGGATCGGATCGGGGTGAATGGAGGCCAAAATCAATATCACTTCGTGCCGAGTTTTTAATGAACAATTGTCGGGGCACACAATTTTAGCACATTGTAAATAAGCAAT